GTCCTCTTTGTGGATATTTAGTAAAATCTTCAGGGCACCTGTAGGTGGGGTCAGCCCACAGCTTGCAAAGAGAAGACTGGGTCCTCAGCACCCTCCTAGAGAGCTATACAGTGCAGTGAGTGACAGTACCTACCCCAAAGGGCTGAGCTCTGTTACAATCGCAATGTGGAGATGAGAAAACTGAGGCACAAAGCACTGAGGTCCTTGCCTGAGGCTGACCCTTGGGCACTGCCTATTGGACCTGATATCTGGGCAGGCTTCTCAAGGTGAGGACAGTTCAGTCAATTTCTCTCCCAGTAGGACTTGCCCATGATGTGATCCCCCAGCAGGGGAGCTCAGCTGTGCCCTAACTGCTGGACATGTTCCCAAGGTAAGCTCAAGGGCAAGTGTTCCATTGAACATACTTAGGGAAACACAGTGCAAGATGCTGTCAAGAAAAATCTTATCTGGATAGAAAGCATCCTGGCCAGGACACAGTTACACCACTGCGGGGGACAGGTCTGGAAGCTCTAGACTTGGGATAACAAGGACAGAATTAGTTCCTCTTCAAGGGTGCCATGCTGGAGAACCATACCTACCCATTGAATGACATAGTGTCCCCCTTCTGCCAGCCCTAATGCTCCAGGACCACCATATCATCCATGCCTGCCAACATCCCCACCATCAACAGGTTAACCATCCTGCCAGGCCTTTATCCACACAGCCTTCCTGGGATGCCCACCCAGCCACAGTCATCCCATATCACCCAAGCCAAAAGCCATCAGCCCAAATCTCAGTCTGACATGAATGGGTTGCTTGACTCAAGACAGTAGACATCTGGCTCCTTTTGTCTCGAAATCACTATTTATTATAGTCTGTGTCCTTCAAGACTCATAGTTCAATAAATCAGAGAGATAATAGGCTCAACGCTTTGTGAAACTGTGGTAGCCCCCTTTACAAGAGGCCATTACTTCTGCTCCTCATAAGAATCCTACAAAGTAAGTATCATGATGTTCCTTTACAGATGGAGAGATCAAGGCTCGACTCGATCACCAGCCTGAGATGCCCTGCTGACGGGTGTGAGATCCACCATTTAACTTGGGTCTGTGTGGCTGCAGTCTGTGACGTTCTAAAGAGTGCATTTCCATAGAGAGAGCCAGGAAAGAGAAGCACAGGCTCCCTGCACAAGGACAGGCCAGCCAGAACTACCCCGTGACTGGGACGGGAGAACTTCTCCATGGCCACCCGCAAGTGATCCAATCAAAGGCGAGTATCTGAAGGTCATTCAGTGCAGCAGTCCCCAGGTGAGGACGAGACCAGGCACAGGGGCCAATCCAGAAAACAGAGTTTCAAGGCACTGAAGCTGCAGCTCTGATTGAATCACCAGGCCAGACCCTGGGTGATTACCAAGCCATAATGGGGTCTGATATTTATATTAGTCACGAGCCTGACGGAGAAAATGTGTTGTTTTCTCAGACACAGCCATGGAGACAACACCTCAATAATTCATTACATGCAGACCTTCCTTGATCAAACCCAAGTGCCTACAAGGGCATCAGCTCAAACTGAGAATATCAGGGAGACTGTGAACAGCCACACACAGGCTCCGGAGCAAACCACAGCTCCATGAGGAAGGGGGCCTCAGCTTCCCCAGATATTTAAAGAGAAGTAGTCTGTGAGCTAGATGAACAGAGGAAGGGAGTAAAGACACAGAAGTGGTTCCAGGCTGAATTCCTAAAGGATTGCTAGAGAACTACAAAACACAGGCAGGACCAGAGATTTTACCCATAATGCCCCTCTCCTTTCCCTCTCCTATGTGGAATCCCAGAGTGGGAAGGGACAGCAGAGCTCACAGATTTCAAACCTCCTATTTGACACACAAGGAAAGACAGAGAGGTTAAAGGACTTCTTCCAAGTTGTGGCCTCATCCAGGCTACAAAACACTAACGTGCTGCCACAAAACATAGTAGCTCCTCTTCACCTTATCTGCAGCTGGACTGGACCTCAAAAATGCCATTTTCAAGTGAGTAGAGAGTTCTGATGAAATCCAATAGGGTAAAAAAAAAAACAGCAATAATGTGAAAAGGTACAACAAAGAGCACACAGTACCAGGATGACCATGCCCAGGTGGCCAGTGGGAGAAAATGTGGCCAAGTTTTCTCTTTTACAACCTTTAAAAACTCTACATTCTACTGTTTTCAAAATGCAAAAGTCATTGGCTCTATGTAAATTGGAGACCAAAGGTACTCATGGGAAGAGACCCCACACTGCACATGCACTGCCTCAAAAATGATGCAGACCCAGACACCAAATGCGTGTGATTTGGAGCACCCTGCTGAAACATCTCTCGCTCTGAATTTCAGATGCTGAAAAGGCTTGCCTTCCTTGGGACTCCACCTCCGCTCAAATCACCATGGGCCTGGATGAAAGTGAGGGAAGGTGAACACATCCAAGGATGGGTAGAACTCTGCAGGAAGCAGCCAAAGTTTGCTTGGAAAAGCCAGCACTAAAATAACTGTTCTCAAGTTAAGTTAAAAACTTTCTTCTGCACCAAGTCTCAACAACACTATCAAATGGCTTGGAAAGCAAAAAAGAAAGAAGGGCCAAAGAATGTGACTGCAAAAAAAAAATGCAGACCCCAATGGTAAAAAGAAAAGCTTAGAAAGGGCCTGATTTGCCATTATTGGTCATGATGAGCTGGCTACACACCATTGCATTGAACAAATCAAGGGGCGGGCGTGTTTTAAAGTGGCCTCAAGATAGAAGAAATAACTTAATCTCATCCTATATTGGCCTCACTTATTTTCAATCAACCAAAACCCATCTCGTCCCAAGTTGCTTGCTTATAGAAACTTGCAGCTATGTGTACTCCGCTGGTCTTAAGGTTGCAAAATACAGCCAAAGATTTACAGATTGTTATTTCTAATGATCATTGCCAAATCCCTATTTTCTTATGAAAAATTACACAAGTCTCGCTTGGTCATCACTTAGGAAAGAATCCTTATGTGAACTATCTGACGAGCATTTCATGACAGACAGGCACTGTGGTAGCATTTACATGTTCCTTAGAGTAAAAAGATTTTAGAAGCGATGTTTAAAACCCAAGGATCACAAAACCAACACATCTTATTCTGACTCATTGAAAAGTTTTCATTCTATCAAAATTGCCCACTTCCTGAAAAACAGAAGGCTGTCAAAAAGTTCACTCAAATCACTCTGTCTGGAGAATATTGTAAATGCATGCAACTGTGAGCTATCATTCCCCTAAGGACAGTGGCTGAATCTCAGTAAAAGGGGAAAAAAATTCCAGAATTGAAGTCTGTCAGGGGGAGGTGGAGGAGAGGAACTGTGTGACTAAGAAGGCTCTGTGAATGAGTGTGTTCCCAGGGGGTGGGCTAGGCAGGGGGCATCTCCAGCACTGGTGCTTAGAATTTTGCTTAATCCAAGGGATTCTTCCAAAGGTGGGAGGTCTTCCTCCTTGACCTCTAATCCAAAGAAAGCTGGATAGCCAACCTCTGGAACCAAGCAGAGAAGTGAGAAGACAAGGAAGAGAATGTTTTTTTTATTTTTCTCCCTTCTTGCAACACACCAGTATTTTCCAAAACACAAACGTGCTGCCACAAAACACAGCTGAGCTCCAGTAGCACCCAACATGATGTATAATTAATGACCGGAGACAGCGCCTGGGTTCGCCCTTGTGTTTGTACAATCAGCCTTCACCTTAGCCCCTGGTTTTCCTCCTTCTGTCCTTAGTGGCCAGGAGGCTGCTAAGAATTGCTGTGCCATATGAAGTTTGAGGGGTCTTGGGATTAACTTTACTAAGAAAGGTGCAAACATTTACAGACCAAGGTGTGTGTCTACTCTACACAGTTCCCCTAGACATCCTCTTCCTCCAAAAACTGTGAGTGTTGTAAAGTCATCTAGAATGGCAATTACTCAAAAAAAAAAAAAAAGGTAGCTCTGTCCCTTTTCCCCATTCTTTCTTCTCTATTCTGCGGTTTTCTATTAAACACTGGCTTATTGCCCCAGCCCTCATCTCCAGCCAGTGGCAGGTGGTGGAGAGAGACACCTCTAAGGTCACGGCCAGGCGGTCATCCTAGCAGCCACACTTCCAAGGTGTAGCGAGCCTGGTGGGCGTCTTTGCCAGGAATAGCCTAAACCACCTGGAGCTCCAGGAAGGGGCTCCGTGAAACCGCGGCCTCCGCGAGCTCTGTGCGGCGGGTGGCCCTAGAGCTCCAGCTCTTTGTTGCTGGTAGCATTTCTGGGGACCCAAAGTGCGTGGCCTGGGGACAGAAGTACAGGGGCAGTCAAAAAAACTTGGGGTGTGGACATGTTCTACAAGAATGTCTAAAGACTAGAGTGGGAGGTGACATCAGATTTGTGACCTCGCCACCTTCCTAAAGTCCCAGCCCTATGGTTGCCTCCAGTTCTGGGATGGATCTCCCCAACTTTCTCTGCCCCCCTCAGGTACCCAGCTTTCTCTAGCCACGTTCCTCCTCCGGGATTCCCTAGTACAAAAGAGTTCCCCCCTTGCCGAGGCACCTTCCCTTCTTTTTGGGGCCCCACGAACTCATCTCTGCAACAGGATCCTGAAGTGCGACTGTGCTCCCCTGGCCCACCGCGAGCACCCGCGCCGCGGCAGGTGAGGGGGGCGGAACATGCACCCAGTGGTCCCATTTCGTTTGTCCCCACCGGACTGGTTCTCCTCACCCTGCACCACAGCACCCGAGAGTCACGTCCCCCACCCCGGCCCCAACCGCAGCCGACTGCAACCCTACAATAAACAAGGGAAAGGATCCGGCGTCCGAGTCCCGAAGCGCACCGGTTGCGGACAACTCCTCACCCCCCAGCGCGCTCCGATCGGAGGGCGCAGGGACAGCAGTGGGAAGGGAAGGCGAGGAAAGGAAAGCAGGCAGGGTTGGAGGGAGGCACTGAGCCCTGCGGAGCGAGGAGGTGGGTTGCAGGGGATGCGGGGAAGCGGCGGGGCTGGCGCAGGGGGTGGGCGCCCGGGGCGCGCTTACCTTCGTCTTGCCCCCGCAGTGGCAGCAAACGGTCCACAGGTACTTGAGCGTCCGCCAGAGCAAGATGATGAAGAGGCCACCGAAGAAAGTCACCATGGAGGAGGCCAGGAAAGCCCACCACATGCGTTGGCCCCGGCTGTCGCACGGCACCTCCATGGTCACCGGGATGATGAGCGCATCCATCTTGGGCTCGTGGACCGAGGACGAGGAGGAAGAGGAGGAGGAGGAAGAAGAGGAGGAGGAGGAGGAGGACGCGTCTAGGCTGAGATGGTTCGCGTGGATATTGCTACTCATTCTAAGACCGCTGCCTCCGCCGCCGCCGCCGCCGCTGCTGCTGCCGCCGCCGCCACCATTTGCCATAGCTAGCAACGGGCGGCCGGCGCAGGGGCTCGGGGGAGCTCCTCCCGCCGCCAGCGCCACCCCGAACACCCATCAACAGCCATGTTGCTGCTACTGCTACCGCCGCCGCCGCCAAGCGCTGGGAGGGGGGCGGGGAGGCGCCTGGGCTAGGGGCGCTGTGCGCGACCTGGCTGGGTGCGCGGAGATATATACAGCTAGTCGCCGCGCCCGCCCTCCCCCGCCGCCGGCCCGCCCGGGGGGAGGGGATGGAGCGCGCGGGCGGCTCCCCCTCCCCGGCCCGCGCCCCGCTCACCCCGGGCTGCGCTGGCCCGAGCGCCCAGAACCAGGGAACGCCGCGGGCCGTCCGCGCCCGGGGTCTCTGCCGCCCCCGGGCCCGCCCGGGCTCCGCGCGCAGGCCCGGGTGCCCTGGGCGCCGCGCCGCCCGCCGTGCGCCAAGCGTGTGCGCTGCGCTCAGGCCGGGGACCCCCCTCCCCGCACGCCTCTCGCGCCGCTAACTAGCCGCTCTTGGCTTATTAAGCGGCACCTCGTTAATAATATAGAATCGGCCCCCGGCGCCCCAGCGCCAGCCTGCCTTCCCGGCTGCGCTTGGCTCCTAATCGCCGCCCCTGTGCGAGCCGGGCCGCCGCCTCCTGCTAGCCCATGCTCCCTGGACCCCGAGTCGTGTCTCCAAGACGCTGAGCCTCCTATGCCTCCGCTCTCTCTTCCTTCTTGCCTCCTCCGGCTCCTCCTCGTCACCGTCCTCGCTGCCCGATCCTCTTCGGCGCGCGCCCCGCGCTCCCCGCAGCCGCCAGCAGTGGCAGCTGCAGCAACTGGAGCGGGCGCGGGCTCAGGCCGCCCGAAGCGGGAGGGGAGGAGGCTCAGCGCGCTGGCTCGCTTGGGCTTGGAGCTGGGCAAAGGCAGGCAGGCCCCTTCGCGGTGAACCTACACGTGCCTCTGACCACCCCAGCGTGCAGGGTAGTGCGCGCCCAGTCCAGCTAAGAACCCAGCACCTCTCTCCAATGATGCTACACACCCACACACACCCTCCCCCCTGTGCCAAGCGCCTTGAGGGACCCGGGGAGAGGGACAAGGCTCCAGGGCCAAAATGTTTTTTCCCAAAGGAGCCCTCAATGGGGAGGGAGGGGTGGTCAACTGTAAGCTTGATCCCACAGGCCCAGTGTCCCAAGATCATGGGGCTCTCAGTGTGAGGAAATTCCTGACCCAGGATACCTGACGACTATCAACCCCATATTTCGCTTTTCTTTTTATTTCTAGGTGCCCCAAGACCCCGCGTGTGGTCGAAGGGCAGGGCCATCTGGAAAGCTATGGTCTGTGGCCTCTGATAGCAGCAGGTGGTTTTTGGCCTTTGTAAGCAACAGAGGCGCCTAAGAGAGTAGGCAGAGGTGGACAGCAAGAGCAGCCTCAAGCATGATGCAGGCCCCAATGGACAACAGGGTTACTGAAAGAGTCCCTCCCCTCTTATTGAATCTCAGACTCCAGCTGGGAAAGGAGTGTGCCAGGCTTCATTTAAGCTCGCCTTTCCCGGTGTAGAGTCTTTCCTCCTCCCCACTTAAAGGGGTCTGGGTTTGTTCAGCAGCCCCCATCCCAGCCATAAAGCAATTCCCCTATTGATGTTCTCACAAGTTTTGCTCCCTCTGGACACTATGCTTCCTCCAGCTACCTGCTGGACCACAAATTTTTCCAGTGCTAATTAAAACAAAGATTATCACACTCTCCCCTCACTGCCCACAGTGATTTCCCCAAAGTTTCCAGCTCATTAGTTTAAGCCTAATTGGAATTCTCAGGTTCCCTTCAGTTCTTCCTGTGGTAGAGGCCCAAGTTATCTTCCTTAACTGTAGGGGCCTTCTCTGTCTGATTCAGGGTCAGTCCTGCCCTTGCCCTTGGAGGCTTAGGATGCAGAGGAGGAGTGGGGCCAGGCAAGGCCAAGGTGGGCAGAGACTGAAGGAGATGCCTAAAGCTTCAACTGGTTGATTGAGAATACCTTCATTGGGTTCAGTGTAAACATCTATTAGACAAGCATTTAGGCCAAAGTCAAAGAAAAAAATGGAACGCAGTAAGATTTCCTGAGTATTGGTATCCAAAAAGCAGTATGTAAAAGAACTGCAGATAATATTTCCGGAAAGCAAAACTGTCAGAGTTTCCATTTTGTCATCTGATGGTACCTCCAACCTTGTCCTTCTGCAGCCACTCTGACATATCAGTCTCATATATGAAAAGTCCTGGGTCTTTTTCAGTCCTGTGCTGGGGAGGAGTTCAAAGTGACTGCAGCATTGAAGTTCCTTTATTTTTTAACTTTTGAAATGACCACACTTTACTGTCTTTGTGCCTCAGCGTATGCAAAGAAAGTTAAGGACTTTCCTTAAATCAAGTCCAAGATTTGAAATTTTAAAATAAAATCCCCGAGATATAAAAAGAGAAGCAGAAGATAGGACCGCCTCACCAGTGGAGTTTAAAACCTCCACAATGGAGTTCCTCACTCACAAAATTGATCTTCTGCAAATCAACAAGTCTCCCTGAGGTCTTCCTACACCACCCCCCAAAAGCCTAGATCCCTGTACAGTGTCAGTCTCTGGGCTGTTAGCAAGAGGCTACTGGCCTTCTATCCCCCAATTGCAAAATCCACAGCCCTGTCTCTCCCCATCATCACCTTCATCAATTCAGTATCCTTTGAGAAGATGCTGGAAGGCCCCTAAGACACCCTCTTCTTCTGATTTCTACAGAGAGATTCACTGTCAAAATCATTAGTCTCTGTCCCACAATCCCCAGTTCCCTCACCACCTCCCTGAGTAGCCTGCCCGGTAGGTGTTGAAAGAAAACACCACCCTCCACTAGGGATTGATGACATTAGGCATTTTCCTAGCTCTCTCCAGCCACTTCTGCTCTGTCCAAAAACTGGTCTTACCAGTGTAGGAAGAGGTTCTGCCTCTTGGACCCAATGGATCCTCAAACTTCAAAGGAACCTTAGACATTTTCCATTAGTTGTGTTCCCTTATTTGTAAAACCTGAATAAAAACAGGGACCATACTGCCTACCTCACAGGGTTATATATAAGGATGAAAAAGAAAACACAATACAGATCTTGGCTGTGATACTATGACCTGAAAAAGTGGACAGGTTCTGAGCAGAGCTTCTGACCACACACCCAGACTCATGTGTGTGCATGCAGCCTGCTCTGCAGGAGATGCAAGGAGGGGAATTGTGAGCCCCTTACCCACTTTGCTATCTGCATTCCACAGGCCCCTCAGCTGGGATGAGGAATGAGGCAAGGTAATGCAGTTGCATCTGCACTCTGCTATGACCTTGACACTGCACCCAGAGGGCCCCAAGAAGAGCCAGGCTGTGGAGTCTCCAGGGCACAGCAGAGCTCCTCCATCCTGCATGGGGTCTCTGACCCTGTCACCCATGGCCACTCACTGTCTCTCCACTCCCTGGATGACCCAGGAAATGGAAGGAGTACAGAGAACCACCTGTATGTGGTCCCAGCACATCTTTACCTAATGTGGGTGTGTCCCAGGCTGGGAACTAAGTGCCATTGTATAAGAACCAAAGCTAAAACAAAAGTAGAAACTTCTCTCTCTTTTTAAAATACAATTTGGGCCATTTATTTGTTTCTAAATACATTTAAAATCCTCCCTGGGAGGAGGGCAGTCTCTTTCCAAGCTGCACTTTTATCTGCGGCAGCTTTCAAAGCAAATCAGAGGTTTCAAGTTTCTTAAGTATTCTAATCTGAACAATTTTAACTGACTAAAAGGAAATAAAATAAGTGCTTAAACATACAGACTAAAAAAGCAGAGTGATTAAAAGCCAAAGAGGACATTTATTTACCTAAATGTTGGCCCAGAATCACAATTATTGTGTACTGGATTTTCTTTTTCCCCAGCCTGAACCCAGTTCCAATACTCTGACGCTAATCTTGGCTGCTTCTGCTCTGGAGAAGCCAGGTGGTGACTCTTTAAGTGATCTAGCGCCTTCTTGTGGCTTTTACAAGAATATCACCTTTTGGTCATTGACAAAAAGGGGGCTTATTCCAACTGTCTGAAATTTGAGATATGAAAATTCCAAAGAAGAAAATCCTACTGTTAAAAAAAGAAAAAAAATAAGTGTAGTCATGGGGGAGGTGTACATAGATTGGGGCAACAATGATAAAATGATTCAAATTTTCAGTTAGCAATAAGTTCAAGAGATCTAACACCACTACTACAATTAATAACACTGTATAATTGAAAGAGAATAGATGCTACGTTTTCTCACCACAAGTAAACAATAAGCATGCATGAAAATACATATGTTAGCTTTATTTAACCATTTCACAATGTATAGATATATTTCAAAACGTCACTTGTACACCAGAAAAAAATACACAATTCTGTTGATTTAAAAAATAAATAATGAAAAAAAATGTGGAGAAAATGACCACCACACTATTATTAACTTACTAATGTGGTTAATAATTAGTTCATCATTATTAACTAATATTACTAATATTAACCATTCAGTTACTGGATCTATCAACATATCAACTGTTGGGATGAAGGCAGCAAATGAGGTTCAGATCATTACCAGATTTGGTGTCAGATCTGAGCTATAATTATTATTGCTTCATTGACCTTGTGTTCCCTTCTAAGCACTCAAAAGTACTCCTCTTTCTTATCTTCATTAATCTTCCTAATCTCTTTGTGATATAAGAAAGGGCAGTAACTATTCTCCTGCTTTACAGATAAGGAAACTGAGGTTTAGATCTGTGCATTACTTGACATGACAGGAGAATTTGCCACCTCTGGAACAATTTGTGCCTTTGTGATTTATAAGAAGAAGCCAGACTTCAGTGACCCAGCACTCAAAACTAGGTCCCAGGGTCTCTGAGTGCCAAAAGCGAACTCTGGTTCCCGAGATAGAGAGAGGCAGAGAAAAGGCTTTGAGCAGTTTGTTTCTCATATTTATTTCTTCTTATAAAACTAACTCACACCTACTGGAAGGAATTTGGAATACAAAAGTTTCATAAAAGAATATAGAGGCCACCTGGCATCCTACCACCCACTGATACCGCTCAACATTTTTGTAGATCTCTTTCACACTTTCTCTCTTGGTGGGTATTTGCAAAATTAAGATTAGATTAAACACTCAGCATTTATCCCCTTAACATTAAATTGCAAGCATTTTCTCTTTTTTA